AAAAATTAGCCAGGTGCAGTGGAGCATGCCTGTAATCACAGCTACTTGGGAGACTGAGGCAGGAGAATCACTTGAACCTGGGAGGCAGAGGTTGCAGTCAGTAAGCATGTGCCACTGCACTCCAGCCTGGGTGACAGAGCAAGACTGTCTCAAAAAAAAAAAAGTTGCAGTTTCAAAGAACCAAGAGACATTAAATGAGACTTGCTGTACACCAAAATACTGACACTGGACACTTTGAAGGTGCAGTGGCCAGTGCCCACTCCAACTGGGAGTCCAAAAATAAAATTCCATTTAATTCCTGTTAGGGGACAGGAAGGCTTCTGTCCCCAGCCCTCCAAGTGCACCTGGGCACTGAGGTTAGGAATGCTTCTATACTTCCTAAAGATTAACTGAGGCATGGACAATCATTTTCAAAATGGAAAGAAAAAGGTTTAAAAGAAACAGAGAACAGGAAAGTAGGATACACTGTTTCCCTCAAAAGTCAAGAGTCACTGGTGACTCTCCACCATTTTCAAACCCTGTTTTCAAATAGACAGGTGCAGAGTGATACTGATTTACTCACAGGCAGCTCCTCAACCCCAGGGTGTTGGCACAGCTGAGATGAGCAGGATCCCCCGGACTACCTATAACAGGAACAGGGGAAAATAAATAAGTAGTAAATCAGGGATTTATACTGATACCTTTTTTTGTTGTTGGTTTTTGGAGTTTCGCTCCTGCGTCCAGGCTAGAGTGCCAATGGCGTGATCTTGGCTTACTGCAATCTCCGCCTCTTGGGTTTAATCGATTCTCCTGCCTCAGCCTCCTGAGTAGCTGGAATTACAGGTGCCCACCACAATGCCCAGCTAATTTCTGTGTGTATGTGTGTTTTTTTGTTTTTTGTTTTTTTTAGTAGAGATGGGGTTTTACCACGTTGGCCAAGCTGGTCTCAAACTGCTGACCTCAGGTGATCTGCCTGCCTTGGCCTCCCAAAGTGCTGGGATTGCAGGCATGAGCCACTGTGCCCAGCCTTTTGTTCATTTTTATTTATTTATTTGACTTTGCCCAGGCTGGAATGCAGTGGTACAATCACGGCTCACTGCTGCCTTGAACTCCTGGGCTCAAGGGATCCTTTTGCCTCAGCCTCCCAAGCAGCTGGGACTACAGGCATGCACCATCATGCCCGGCTAATTTTTGTAAAGATGGGGTTTCATTTTGTTGCCTATTTGCCTAGGCTGGTCTCCAACTTTTGGCATCAAGCGACCCTCCTGCATTGGTCTCCCAAAGTGTTGGGATTACAGGCATGAGCCACCACGCCCAGCCTGATATCTTCTAAGTCTGAAAGAAGGCGGGGTGCCATGGCTCACGCCTATAATCCCAGCACTTTGGGAGGCAAAGGCGGGTGGATCACCTGAGGCCAGGAGTTCAAGACCAGCTTGACCTACGGTGAAACCTCGTCCCTACTAAAAATACAAAATTAGCCGGGCATGGTGGCGCATGCTTGTAATCCCAGCTACTTGGGAGGCTGAATCAGGAGAATCGCTTGAACCCAGGAGGCAAAGGTTGCAGTGGGCTGGATTGTACCACTGCACTCCAGCCTGGGTAACAAGAGTGAAACTCCGTCTCAAAAATAAAAAAAAAAGGTCTGAAAGAGTACAGATCTCTTTTGTAGAAACCTGTGTGTGTAAGTTTCTGGAACCCAGTTCTGAGTGTTGGAAGGTTTCAGAACATTGCTAAGTGAAGGGTCTGCCCCAGTTAGGAAAACAGTATCTCAAAGTAGTCCTAAAAAAAGATGGGGAGCCTCAAGTAGACCCTGGCTCCAGACACCCCAAGAGGGAAGCCAAGCAGGCCAGCCCTAGGGAGGGAGCACTCCTACCAGTTGGCACCATCCCCACTCACTTCAGCTGGCTCTGGGAGAAACATGATCTCTATGCAGACAGCCCTACAGAGCAAGCAATGACCCCAAGGGGCAAGAGCTGTAAGAATTACTACAACCACAGGCCGGGCGCAGTGGCTCATGCCTGTAATCCCAGCGCTTTGGGAGGCCGAGGCAGGTGGATCACCTGAGGTCGGGAGTTCAAGACCAGCCTGGCCCACATGGTGAAACTCCATCTCCACAAAAAAAAAAAAAAAAGAATTACTAGAACCACAAACACCAAGAGTAAGCCATTTCTTGTATAAACAACAGTGATAAGTGTACAGCACATTTCTAGGATTTTAACAAGTTTTTGATGCTTTCCCTAACTTGCTGTAGTTCCTACAAGCATAAAGTCGGAGTTAATTCATACTACCGACATTCAGAGCCCACTGTGGTCAAACTTCATGCTGGGAACAAGACAGGAATAGGAGCAGCAGGGCCAGAGGCACCAGCCCATGGAGGTGTCAGGCCAGGCTGTGCAGAGGCTAGGTGGTGCCAGGAGCCAGCAGGTGGCACCTTGAGATGCCCAGTGGCCTTGAACCTCTAGGCAGTGGGGTTGCAATGAGTCCTCAGCCAGGGAGCAGAAAGTGCAGGTTTAAGATGGAGGAGCTCACTCCAGCCAGCCACGAGAGCCACCATGAGAGGAGGGACAAGATGGGGAGGGCAGGCACTGATCCTGCTCCCAGTGGACCCACTTGTCACTTCACCTCATTTAACAGGAGGCAACCCTCATGCTTCTGTGGGGAAGGAAATTCCTAGCACGTGCCACATTTAGGGCTTGTAACAGTCTGGTCTGTAAATTGGGAGCTGGGTTAAGGGAAAAATGTTAGCTATGTTCTCATACACATCAAGTTACATTTTAAATTAAAATTTAAAAGTACAGTGCAAGTGAACACACCAAGACCCTTCTCACTCCAGCTGAGACCAGCTTTGGTCCCTCATCTTTCTCCACATGAAGGGGGCCCAGCACATTCTCCACTATCCTCCCCACACCATGGCACCTTCGGCCCCTCCACCTCTGCCCTGGCCAGTTCCTGCACCTCAAGGGCTCAGCCCAGCAAGCAGGAAGGCTGGCAGGTCCCCAGAGCTCCCTGATCTGCCCCCCACAGTGATCCTACCTTCTCTCTAACACTTGCTGTCCCACTGGCTTCCTTACTAGGCTCTCCCCAAAACCTGTTCTGATGGCTTCTGTCCCCAGCTCTCCAAGGAACCCCCAGTCAAGGCCATCCAGGGCGATGGGGATCACTGCTCCATGTCCCTCATGAGCACAGATGTCATCTGCGGCCAGGCCCTGCTGGGAGCCCTTCTGTTCTTTTTTCCAACATCAACGAATTCTCCAACTGGGAGTCCAACAATTTAATTCCATAGTGACACTACCCAGAGTTAGCCCACAGGGTAAGGGCTCAGTCCCACAAGACTGCCCCCACTCCATATGCCCAGGCTACCCACATTTCAGCTGACTACAAATTTGAGGGTTCCCATGACTGCCTTGGTTTTGATAATTCACAAGAATGACTCAGATGCCAGCAACGGGCTCTACTTACTATCACAGTTTATTATAAAGGGTGCCTAGGAACAACCAGATAGAGAGGCCAAGACGCCAAGGCCAGAGAGGTCCTGAGCACAGGATCCTTTGTCCTGTGGAGCAGGGTGAACACCAGTGGGAAGCCTCACCAGCCTCCTCACCCGGAAGTTCTCATCAAGGCTTCATGATTGATTACAGTATTGGCCTACTGGCCATGGGGACTGAACTAAATCTCCAAACCCTCTCCCTTCCTGGAAGGGGCAGGAAGTTCCCACCCTCTAATCACATCACGGCCAGCGCCTCAATCTATCTAAGGGCTTGCCTAGAGTCACCTCACTGGCATAAACTCAGGTGCTGTGATAATGAATAATAGAAGACACTCCCAATCTCACGCCTGTAATCCTAGCACTCTGGGAGGCCAAGGTGGGTGAATTGCTGTTGAGCTCAGGAGTTAAGCCTGGGCAACACAGAGAGACCCTGTCTCTACAAAAAATAAAAAAAATCAGCTGGCAGGAGGATCGCTTAGAGGCTGCAGTGAGCCATGATCAAGCTTCTGCACTCCAGCCTGGGTGACAGAGCAAGACCCTGTCTCAAAATACAAATAAACGAAAAAAGACACTCCCATCATTCAGGAAACTTCCAGGGTTTTCAGCCCTCAGTGCTGGTGCCAGGATCGGGTCAAAGAACAAATATATTTCTTATCATAACACACCTTTCTTCACCTGGCTTCCAGGAGACAATGATCCTCTTGCCACTGCTGGGAGATCCTCCCTACCTGACCTCCACCTCCTCCCCAGGTAATCTCTTCCCTGACTTGAATACACATCCCCCACAGGTCTGATGAGCACCGCACAGTCCACACCTCCAAGAACTCTCAACTCACCCCCTGCCTTGTGCTCCTCCCCAAGTCCTCCCCAGTTTCAACAAATGGCACTGTTGTCCCCAGGCAGCTCAGGCCAGAGGTCACCTCTCCTACACAGCCCTTAGGGTCAACCCCGCTTCTACTCATAAAGCGATTTCCTCCCAAAGAGGACAATATGGAGAGGCAGGAGAAGAGTAACTGCGCAGTGAAAACCTGACAAACACCACTTCAGCCTACCAATCAAGGTCAACATCAACAGTGACAAATCATTTGGATAGCATGGAGCCTAGACATGATGTGATGAGGATGCTTCACCTCTGTGGTCTTCCTCCAGAAAAACCATCTTTCCCAGCTTGATTATGAGGAAACATCAAGAAATACCAGTAGAGCAGCAAGCACCCTACATTCCACCTGAGCACTACTCCTCAAAGATGTCAAGGTCACTGCAGACAAGGAAAGCCTGAGAAGTAATCAAGATGGGTAGTGCAGATGGGTCCTGGGACAGAAAAAAGACCTTAGAGTGAAGAACAGGAGAGTAAAGAAAATCTGAACTTTGGGAGGCCGAGACGGGCGGATCGCCAGGTCAGGAGATCGAGACCATCCTGGCTAACA